ATAACCAATAAACATTAGAAAAACATTTCCAAACACACATCGCGATTTACACTCCATAATACCACTAACACCACAGACTTTTCACTGCTGCTCATTTACGTACCTCTCCAAGTGAAATATATTTTTCACTACTATTTTCACTACTCTGTTTCACTACTATTTATCACTACTATTTTTCACTACCATTTTCACTAGTGTTTTTCACTAGTATTTTTCACTACTATTTTTCACTACTATTTTGCAATAGTAGTTTTTAGTCGTATTTTTCACTACTATTTCTCACTACTATTTTTCATATCACCAAAAAACACTAAAACACATTCCACTTCTCCAAATCGATCAGCTGATCGATTTCATACCTCAGGATTTCTCCTCATTATTTCCCATTGGCTCTCCAATAGATCCTCTTTCAACCGACTCATATTACTACGCCACCGTATTCGCTCTCGATGAGAATCTTCCGCACAGTGAAGATTTCTCAGCTCCTCCGAATGAAACATCCTTTCCTCATACCTAACATAATATAATCGTTCGTGAAATTATCCCGAAATCGGAAGAAATATCCCACAATCGTCCCCAACTAAAAAAATTCTCAGCTACCCCGAATGAAACATCATTTTCTCATAACTAACATATAATCGCGCATCGGAGTAAAATTGGAGTTTCTTCACCCTAGTGATATGAAAAATATATTACACGACTACTGCTGCATATCACCACGAATTTCATCGCGTCGCCACTTAACCACGTAAAACGGGTTGTGAAACTCCATTATATACGTACAACACACTCTATAGTATTAGAGCGATTCGACATATCACTAGTAGAGTACTCATACTACAATGGAGTTTCCCGACCCTAGTGATATGAAAAACACTAGTGAAAAATATATTTCACGACTACTACTGCATATCACCACGAATATCGCGTTTTTCACCGAGTACTACGCCACTTCGCGTAAAACGAGTTGTGAAACTCCAATCCATGAACACCCCTTCCCAAAAATATTACAATTCCTCCGCATTTTTCATCTTTTTCTCAATTCGATATTTCCGCGATTTTTCTCTCAACAATTTCACATACGATGCAAAATCCGTCATAATTTCTCGCCTCCTCGCACTTCTAACCTCCTGATTCACAAATCGATCACCAGGGCGCGCGCTTTTTACCACCAAACACTCACCTTCGGTATACCCACTCGCTGTTTCCGCACATCTTTCGGAGACTCCGCCTTGTGTAAAATCCACGGCACTGACCGGTTCAACTATGCGGAGAAAATGTACTGGAGTTTCACAACTACCCGTTTTACGCGATATTCAACGCGGTGATATGTAGCAGTAGTCGTGAAATATGTTTTTTCATATCACTAGGGTGAAGAAACTCCAATATTTATACAGTGGAGTTTCACCACCCGTTTTACGTGAAGTGGCGTAATACTCCATGTGAAAAACGCGATATGAAGTGTATCAACAATACTTACATATCACGTGAAACACATCATGCGTTTTACGCGTTTTTCACTAGTGTTTTACATCACTACGTTGAAACTCTATTATTTTAAATACTCAATTTCATACCACACTTACCAAATCTCCTCCGGGAATTTTACTCCACGCCGATTTCCTGACAAAAAACACCAAAAAATGGAGTTTCACGAGAACAGGTGTAAAACTCCGTGAAAAACGCGGCGATATTCACATTACGCAGTAGTTGTGAAATATGTTTTTCATATCACTAGGGTCAAGAAACTCCACTAAAGAAAACCAATTCGAATATTAATTTGAAAATGATGATAAATAATATATAATAACGAATAGTTCCAATAATTGGAGTTTCACAACTACCCGTTTTACGTGAAGGGGCGTAATACTCGGTGAAAAACGCGGTGATATGCAGTAGTAGTCGTGAAATGGGATTTTCATATCACAAGTGAGAATCCATAGAAACTTCAAGTAACTTCATTTACAGTGAATAACGCTTTCAGAAATTATCCCAACATAAAAATGCCCAGTGATACCCTAGTGATATGAAAAATATATTTCACGACTACTGCATACCATCGCGTCGCCACTTAACCGCGTAAAACGGGTAGTTGTGAAACTCCAATATATACGTATAACACACTCTGTAGTATCAGAGCTATTCCACATATCACTAGTAGACTACTCATACTACAATGGAGTTTCTCGACCCTAGTGATATGAAAAACATATTTCACGACTACTGCATAGCACCGCGTTGAATATCATCGCGTCGCCACTTCGCGTAAAACGGGTTGTGAAACTCCAATGAATATTAAATCAATCATCCCAACACACAAATGCCCAACCCCGCGATCAACCCACTCACATGGATGATAATTTTATTGCACTCGGACGTGCCGCTGTAGGAGCAGTCTGAAAATTACGATAATACCATAATTTCCCTTTCCAAAATTTTCCCAATTTTTACCTGCGATCTCTGACCAGCAAATTCCCTATCGTCAATTTCGCTCTCCCAAAAATTCTGAAAAAAAAACAACAACAACTTTTTTCGACCAGAAAAATCCGGAATTTTTCACCCATTATCGGTAAAACG